GAGATACAAGGGCTTCTTCGGTGAGAGCTCCTTGCAAAAAACAGCTTCTAGGTTATGCTGCCATAAGAAGAAGCTAAATTCCCATACCCGCNNCCCCCCCCCCCCCAACAAAAAAAACCTAAACTCAGAAAGTTAGACCCCTCAAGCCCTTACAATAGAAACCAGACCCTCTAATCTTAAATCCCTACAATTTAAGCCGAAACTAAACCTTTGAAGCCTTAAATCATGTAGCCCCTACAGCCGGAATTAAACCCTTGATCCCTTACGCCCTTTACAACCGAGACTAAACTCTTAAACTGGGCCCCTAAACCATACAATCTGAAATACATAAAGCTTGGGTATTGCTCGACCCAGTACCAGCCCATAGCAACAAGGACCAGGGTAGCCTTGAGGGTATCATGTAACAGTTACTGATGTAAAGCTAAAACTAAACCCTTAAGCGCCTAAGCCCCCAAGGCTAAAACAACTAAACCTAAAACTTATCGGTCCGAATCTTATCGATATGTGCTGCCTCGGGCAGGGGCGTGGCATTTTGCTCATGATGCTCATTCTAAAGATAAGTGCTGCCTGGAGGCAGCCATGCTTCTAAAAAGGATTTGTGCTACCGCGGGCCATCCTTCAACAAGATCTGTGCTAGCAAAGGCCATGTTTATCGAATAAGTTTTTGCTATGGGGCATGCTTCTTGAAAATTCAATGGCTCCTGGTCGTCGTTGCTCCAAGACACCCTCCAAGCAAGCCTGAGGATCTTCTGGTCCAACAAGGCACGATTGTTGAAGTAAGAGGCGAGGGCCGTGAACCTCAAGTCGGACTTGCCCTTGAGCGAAGCATATTTGAAAACGAGTGGAGAGGCAGCATCGGAGGAAATATTGAACGAGTCCGCCTCGCCATCCGCGCCTGCAAAGGCAAATGATTAAGTCTTCTTAGCCAACTGTGTTTGGATTGAGGAATTGAACTGAAATTCACCTGAATTTTGATCTCCACTAGCCTTCCGGACGCTCGCAGATGTGTCCGTTCACTGAGAAATCCACCATGCCATTGGCTTCAAACTCATGGAACAGGTTCCGTAATGGTACAGGGTCCGTGTCGCGCAACCGGCGGGTGCCCTCCTGTAGCATGGATAAACCCAACCAAGGCCCTGAACTTCCCTAAACCCTAACCCTAAACCTTAAGCCTTAAACCCTAAACTGTAAGATCCAGAAAACAGAGCTCCTCACTGACTTCGAGCACCACCAAGTCTTGATCACTTTCCCAGCAGCACTGGATGGCGGTGGCATCTTTGAGGATTCCTGCCGGGTCTGGGGGCTTAAGGGTGCGGTTTTAGTTTGGATTTTGAGTCAGTCGTATGGATCATAGAAGGAGTGCAGATTAAGTCCGATGTTGGTATTAGATCATTGCCACGAAACAGACTCAGACCTGTTGGGCTTCACGGTTGAGGGCTCCGAGCTTGGGGAGTTTTGATAATATCTGGGTCTGCAGAGGTTTTCTGGATAGGAGTTCACAGCCTGGATGCACAAGAAGGGCTGAGCAGCTCAGCGTTTTCGGTTTGGGAGGGTCCGTAGGGTTTTTGTAGGGGTTTTAGGGTTTTTAGGGGTTTAGGGTTTTTATGGTTTTTAGGGTTTTTAGGGTTTTTTTAGGGGTTTTAGGGCTTTTAGGGTTTTACGGCTTTGGGGCACAGGGCCTAGGGTTTTGGGGTTTAGTGCGTAGTTTGTGGTTTTCGGAGTGTAGCACTCAAGGTGACGGGCACTCACACCGATTCTTTTTTCAACTTGCGCACTAGCAGGCCCTAAGTCAGCTGAATCGCTATGCCGACTAGCCTTGAAGCACGAACACATGACATCAGAAGCCCATATGAGGCAAGATCCGGGGAGTCTAGCAGAACCATTCCACAGAATGGCTCCTTTCCGAATCTGCACAAAAACCCGAAAGCCTGCAGTCGTGGTGCGAGGATCGCATAAACTTTAAAGCCGAGCTAGCAGTCTTAGATTGCAGAAGCGACTGGATAACCAAGCTGGTTCTACGATCACGTCTCGCCACAAAACTGAGCAGGATCCTACGCCCAGCGTCGGCGCTTCAGCTGGGACTCCGTAAGGCCCTCAGCAGCCTTCACACGGATGGGGTGCGTCTTCCACCTGGGCTGGTTCGACTTCAGGGAGATTTCTGGATATGAGGCACCGACATAATATGTCGCAGGGTTTAAATTTAAGTAGATGTTGACGCATCAACTTCATGGGAGCAATTATTGTTAAGTGTGGCATTATGATCGGAAGAGGCTAGAACGAGCCCAGACTATTTATTACCATTCATAATCAAATCAAGGATCACTATGATTTCTGATAATAGTCTTTAGGGATCTGTAGGGTTTACTGCTTAGGACTTGGGCGTTTGTTCAGGTAACTTAAAGCAGGAGGGATACTAGTCTCGAAAAAAACAATACATGTAAGTGTTCTTTGCGGTAAGCTACCATAGGGTGCAGGGTTCAGTTGTTAAGCAATTTAGGGTTTAGGGTTCAGGGTTTTGGGTTTAAAGTTTAGGAAATAATTGAGGCATTGTGGCATCGGCTAGACAATCGAGTACACACATCAAGCATCGAGTCCAGGCATCTAGCGAATCTGGTAAGATCTACAATGAGAGTTTCCAATGAGACTTTCCACATCTTTATCTTTAGGATCTGAGGGCCTGCTAAGTCCGATGAATAATGACGGATGATACCAAGGTTAAAATATCAGAGCTTCATTAAAACACAGACAATCCTACTCGAATCAATGTTGGCGAGTCTTTGGTCTTCTTTAGACTTAGAGTTTGAGGGATACCACCATTTTATTGGATGATAAGCAGGGCATTCATGCCCAAGGTTCGCGATAACATTATCAATATTTTAATTTCAGGCGAAAGGCTGTCGCGAGATCTCCTTCAGCATGTCCTGGTACTTCATCTTGCCCTTCAAGGATTGGGTCATTTCATCCTTGAACTTCGTCCATTCCTTTCCCAGAAAGGAATCAAGGGGATTCTTCTGGACCTGGCCATCCGCAGCCTTCGCCTTGGCCTTCGCCTTGCCAGCTGGCTCCGTCTCCTTCTTCTGGGACTTGGCCTTCCCCTTGGCCTTCGCCTTGGGAAAGCTGAGCTTTCTCTTGCGCTTCCCGTCCGTGCTGCTGCCTGCCGACGCCCGATCTTGCTTGTTGAGCTCCTCGTCCTCTGCCACTTCTTCAAACTCTTCCAAAGCATCCAAAACCTCACGGGTCTCCTCCGGATCGTTGCCCTCCTGCTCCTTCTCATCTCCAATCTCCGTCTTCTTGTCGGTCTTGCCCTTCGCCTTGGCCTTGGCCTTGGCAATCCTTTTGCTCTGCTGGGCTGATCCACTAGGCTTCTTCTGAATCAAGAGGGCTGACACAGCAGCAGCGAGGCCGATGACATCACCAGAGCAAGCCTTCCGCTCAGCCACACTCTTGGCACCCTTCGGGACCGGGCCAGGCCGTGCCTGCAAAGAGGAATGAAGAATTTAAAGAACTGATATTCTCGGTTTACGTTGGTTTAGGGTTTAGGGTGTAGGGTTTAGGGTTTAGGTTTAGAGTTTAGGGTTTAGGGTTTAGGTTTTGAGTTTAGGTTTTGGGTTTAGGTTTAGGATTTAGGTTTAGGGGTTGGGTTTAAGGTTTAGGTTTAGGTTTAGGGTTTAGGGTTTAGGGTTTAGGGTTTAGGGTTTATGGTTTAGGTTATGAACAGCCCAAGATAGCATTTACACACTGAAAACAGCAGCTTCGCCTGAATACCCAACATAGCGATTACAATAAGACTAAGATCACGGCTAAGCCTTACCTATTTGTTCTTGGGGTGTCTTCTGGGCACATGAAATTGTAGGAGTTTGAAGGCTAGGCAAAGGTTCACTGGTTTATCGTAGAGTCTTAGAGGCGGATTGACTTTGAGCTAGGAGCCACTTAAGCTTTCTGGGGGGGTTGTTGAGTATTTACTTTGTAGACCTGGCCCCGCAGCAGCATCATAAGGATCAGGATTGATTTGGGTTTGCTCGTTTTTGGGCTTCGGGTGTTTAGTTCGTTTTGGGGATAGAGTGTTGGCATTTACGGTTTAGGGTTGAGGGGTTGAGCTCTCAGTAAGTGGGTTTTTAGGCTTTAGGAGTCAAGGTGTGGTTTTGCTGCACCCATAAGAACTCTGGGGGGTTATTGTTCACGGAACCCTAAACCCTAAGCCCTAAAGCCTAATTGTCAACCCAAACCATCTTAATTGAGGCTGCCCGGCTGCCTGCTCCTTCCCGGCGGCTTTCTTCTGCTGCTTCTGCTCCGCGTCGATCTCGGCCTTGGCCTGAGCGATGCTAGACTTCATGAAGTCAAGATCCGCCTTCGTAGGAGTCTCGGCCATGCTAAGCTCGCTTGTAGAGGTCTGGGCACGGCGGAAGGCATGAGGATTCGCAGGGATTGAAGATGTAGATTCCGTTGCACCAGGCTTGCCGAACATACCTGGGAACAGCGTCCTCGGGGCAGGGAGTTTGTTCTGATCCGGGGATGGCGATGGCGTAGATGAGGGAGTCGAGGAGGCTGAGGCTTGTGTCGAGGCACGAGTAGAATCGGAAGGAGGTGTCTTCAGCGGTGCAGCATCAGAAGTAATTGTCCCGGTGTGCGGCCGCTGTGGGGTGCGAAGCTGCTCGTTGCCCTCTTGCAGAGCCTTAAGAAGATCATCGCAACCCCAATCCATATCCATCTCAAGTGCAATGCTTAAAGAAGCAAGGGCGAGCGATTCGAGCCGGCAGTAAAACCTCGAGCCTGTCATCGGTATTCATCGAGAATGGATTCGAATTCAAGACTAGGCTTGTTTCCTAAGCTGATCGTATCACAAAGCAAGCAGATGAGCGGAGTCCTCCAGTCTCCATGAGCTTCTGCACCTTCGCCGCGGCCAAGAAGCTAGCCCTGTCATGGCCGATGACGAAGCTCTTCATATCCAAAGTGACGTTCTCCAAGGCCACCTAGGAATTACAAGTCACCAGTACTTCCATTTAGATTCCAACTGAAAGCCCGCATTCAACAGTGTTCCTCGGCTTAGAAGTTTGAGGCTGATGCGATGAACAGTTTGTGCTCTTGCTCGGGCACGATTTCTGTAGCTTCGGAAAGAGGTTTGCCCTTCGCGGATGCATTGACAACCCTGAGCTGCGTAGTGGGGACTCGCCCAGGGATGCACAGCACCATGTCATACATCTCCTCCAGCTGACCCACGGTTCTGGGTTCCGATGCCCAGGCCCCGGAAACTGGCCCAGCTGCTGGCTCTGCTGGCTCGGCTGCTGCAGGAGCGGACTGGTTCGGAAGGGAGCTAGCAACAACAGTAGAGGCAGCTGCTGCTGGGGCTGCGGACGGCCCAAACCTGAATCATCTTGGGCACAGCACAATATTATCTGAATCTTGGGTCGTAGTGATTCAGGCCTTAGGGTTTAGGATTTAGGGTTTATTTTGGTTTCGGGCGTGGGGAGAACTTGAAATAATATTGATGTCTTCCATAAAACGAATGTTGTGTTGGTAAGGCACCTGGCATCGAATTTAGCAATCTCCTCAGCCCATCCATTCTTCCGAATGGGATCATCCTGCCACTTGGCCCTGGTTGTGCTGCTGAGGACCAGCGTTTTCGCGCCGGTGTTGCCATCCGTTCCCGTCTCGCACAGAAGCAGATCAGGCACGGAAACCGTGTCGGCGGGCTCTTCCAAGGTCGGGTTGTACGGTGCAACTGAGAGACCGAAGGTAGGGGCGCCCGACTTCCAATCCTGCGAAGTTTTCATCACGAGCAGCGTGGTTGCTTGTTTGGGCAACATAAAGGCATATAGTAGTCTTTGAGGCATTGAATTTAATTATTCGGTTTCAGACTCAACCAATTGCTGGCCTCGAGAAGCTTCTGAGCCAGTAGCCGTTGTGCGTATTGGGTCTCCACAGCAGGGCCACAGCTGTATGTCACAATCCTGCATCGGTAGAGGAGGCTGGCTTCAGGGTACAGGGCATATATTGGGTATCTATGTTAGGGAAACAGTTTTGGGGCTTAGGGTTCCGGTTCTGGATTGAGGGCTATAGGTTCAAGGTTACGGTTTGGGATAAGTTAAGTTGATCAGTCCTGGGGCCACCTTGGTCTTTGCTCGCAAGGCAAGCCTTCTCCAAGCAAGCGTCGTAGGGACTCAGGTTAATGACACACACGGTCGATTTCGGATCGAGGCCGCTCACGTCCTGCATCGTGTGGTATAAGGGATCGCTTTAGTTTAACAAGGCTAGACTTGGAAGTCGTTTGGAATGAAACCCAGGAGGTCCAAAGTTATAGGGTCCAAATGCACATTAGCAGCATCATGGTACTTGGGCACCCGGCCCTTCCTCTAAGATGACCCTCCACCTAACGTATGAGATCCGAAGCCCACACACAGGATACCTGAAAAGCTGCGGTCCCGGGGTCCTAGATCCCAAACAAAGACCCATAAACCCGATCCTCGAAAAGGCTGCTCAAGATCTCCGCGGGGACCTGCGTGCCGCCGAGGCATTGGGCGGCCGTCTGCATGTCAGACAGACTCCTGTAGTGGGATGATGATAGGCTCACGGTTATATACCATTTAGGTTCTCTAGTGTGCCACCTACCCAAGTCTTTAGGGGTTAAGGGTTTAAGGGATTAGGGTTTAAGGGTTTAAGGGTGCAGGGTTCAAGGGTGTTTTTGTTTGTTTAGTGTCCTCTCCGTTGCTTCAGTCGTTGCTGGAGTCGCGTTTTTCACGTGTGGCACTCGATAGTCCCGGGTTGGCAACCAGGAGATTTCGTTCCTTGTGCACCTCAGGCGGAATCTGATTAGATGGGTATAGGATTTCATCACCTAAGTCACAATTAATTAAAGAACTCTGAAGAGTGGCTCGTTCAGCAACAGCTTGGAAGTGTTGAAGATGTTCGACGTGGCAGCATCATTGACGGCTACCCAGGCCGGGAAGATGAGCGGCAGCCGTCTGTTCCCGTGCCCCTGCTCCATCCTGATGCCGAAACGAACACTGTTCAGGTTGCGGTTGTCGAGCTTGTCTTCCACACGCCTGCCAGTCTTGTGGTCTAGAGTCGTCTAGAGAAAGACAGTCACTCATCAACCAGTAGGAAACTCTAGCTAAAATTATCCTGCCTCAGCTCACCCCGTTTTCCGGCCACCACCTTCGATGAAATCATCGTAGGAGCGATGATCAGAGCCACCGCTTTGTTGGGGTAGGCGCTGCAGACACGTCGAACCTCTTCGGAAACAGCATCCAGATGGTCCGCTTGCAGGGTTCCGGACTTGGTGAGGTCCACCCAAACCACGATGGCACTTGGTGCCACGGTGCCCACCCACTGCACAAAAGGATGGCTTGGCCGGGATATCGGCTACTTGCGTGGGTTTATGGATTTAGGGTTTATAGGGTTTACGGTTTCCGGGTTTGGAGTTTTGGGTTTACCTGAGTAGACAGAGACTTCAGCTACTCGCCTTGGTTTATGGGTTTAGGGTTTATAGGGTTCAGGATTTATTGGTTGGCAGGGATTTCAGCTACTCGCGTGGGTTTATGGTTTTAGGCTTTATAGGGTTTAGGGTTTCCGGGTTTGGGGTTTTGGATTTAATTCTTTGCCAGGATTTCAGCTACTCGCGAGGGTTTATGGATTTAGGGTTTCTAGGGTTTAGGGTTTCCGGGTTTGGGGTTTTGGATTCACATTGAATTGGTTGCCAGGATTTCAGCTACTCGCGTGGGTTTATGGTTTTAGGGTTTCTAGGGTTTAGGGTTTCCGGGTTTGGGGTTTTGGATTTACATTGTTTGCCAGAATTTCAGCTACTCGCGTGGGTTTATGGTTTTAGGGTTTCCGGGTTTGGGGTTTTGGATTTAAACGGAATTTCAGCAACGATCCTCCATGAAGTTCATATGCTCTTCGACATAGCTGTTTGCAACGAACATGGCATGTCGCCTCATGAAGTCGACAACCACTGTTGCACCTCGTCTGTTCTCAGCTTTCAGCTTCAGAACCTTTGCGATTGCACGCTGTCGGACTCCCGCTGAAACCTTCGATGTGTAGGCCGAAAACCTCGACATGTCTTCGGAGAGTTTGAGCAGGTCAGCTTCATAGGCCTTCTGAACGGATTCCATGTCCAAAGCTGTAATCGCATCACATTCGTCGCAGGCTGGGCTGCCGAATGCCGCGGAGGAAGCCGCCTGCTTGCACATGTGGTCCTGGGGCGACATCCGACATTCACCTGTGTAGGGTGGCGGGGTGGTGAGGGCAGCCTGACAGCATCCAGATGGAGTGGCAGACATGTAGAGGTGAGGGCAGCATGACACTATGCAGGTGAGGTGGACTGGTAATGGCAGCATGCGACGTTGCCAGCATAAGATAAACCTGTCTGTGTCAGCGGCAGGGATGTGATTAGTGGTGCAGGTAGCATGTCACGATCGAGATGAAGGGCGAGCTGGCAGCATGACACAATCATCGCCAGGCAGCATGACACAATCATCGCCAGTACGGCCCTGGCAGCATAATATGACAATCTTGGCTGTGTGTAGTGGTGAAGGCAGCATGACAGAAAGACGGTGTTGGCAGCATGACATGATCCTGTCTGTTTTGGTGGCGGGGAGCAGCCTACAACGGCCAGTGTAGTGGTGTGGCATGATACATGAACTGGCAGAGTGGTCCTGCCAGAAGGACAAATCGGACGGCAAGAAGTCGACCTTGGCCGTCACCAGGTTCTGGAATTCCCCGCTGTAGTCCCTGGGCAGAGCAGAGGGGATTGGAGTACGATGAGCATAAGGTACTTACTGGCTATAGTATTCAGACAATTCAATATCAAGGGATGACAGTAGAACGCCTATCCGAGGATGCTTTTTTGCAAGGTCTGCAAGCCCGAGAAACAATCCAAATCGAACGGACAGCAGCCCCAAGGATCCAAGCACAACCTTCGGAGTTAGGAGACGAGTTGCTTCAAGGTGCATCACACGGTACCCTAAACCCCTAAACCCCTAAACCCCTAAAGTTTACCTACTAAGGCCCTAAACACTAAGCCCCGGCTCTAAACCCTGAACCTCTCAACCCAAAACCACCAAAACCCAAAAACCCAACAAACCCCCACCCCTAAACCCCCAAACCCTAAACCCCAAACCACCAAAGCCCCAAAACCTTAAACCTCAGCACCCTAAATCCCTAAACCTTAACACTCTAAACCCCCAAAACCCTAAACCCTCTGAAGCAGCGGCCACAAACCTGACCGCCTGGGATTGCTGTCAAGATGCCCTTCCAAGGCACGTTGCGTGGCTTTGGCGACATCTTCTGGCTTGAAGATTGGAGAGCCGGCTGCATCCTTGGCAGCCTTCATGTCATCGAGCAGCTGGTAGATGAGGCAGGAAGTTTCAAGCATCGTTTCCCATTGGTCCGGGGTACAGCGGGCGGTGCTGAGGTTCTTCACTTGCTTCTTGCGAACATTGAACAGGAAAATGATTCGCTGCATAAAGAAGAGCTGCTTGCCCGGGTTCACAGTTTCGACTGCTTGCCAGTAGGGAGTGCCACCCCTTCCACAAGACCCAATCAACCACCGGCTGTTGCGGATGTTCTCCAAAGCGAAAGCTGTCGGGGGAGTCACATATACACAAGACAAAGACTTGTTTCTAGCGACCCTGGTTGAGGCGGTACCCTGGACTCCCTGGACTTCGAGATCCTGCGACCCATGCACCTGAGTTCTGCAACGTGTTCATCTGTAGATGCCTGGCCATCAGCTGCTGCACCTCCACAGAAACCCCAGACAGCAGAGCCTGCAGGGCAGCGTTCAAGAGTAGGGAAATTTAGGAGTTACGGCTTAAACGGTGCAGGGTTAGGGGCCTGAGGCTTTAGGGTCCTTATCTGATTCTGTTGCTATGCAGTGCACATGTAAGATTTCAAGTATTATTTGGGTGAAAGGTTTTGAGAGGGCTAGCAAAGCGAGTCTGAGGGGGCTCCTTGATCCCATACATTTCCCGTTCTGCCAGCTTGAACTGCTGGCTGTGCTGGGCGAGCCCGAAGTTGTTGTACTCGTCGAAAGCAGCATTCAAAGCAACCTCCAGCGTCCAGCCAGGGTTGTCCTGAGTGCATTGACGTAACCAGACGACATCAGCAAACTACTTTCTCAGCAGAGAAGCACAACAGCCAAGTCGGTATGATGTGCGGGCGAACAGCCACCATGAGTACTTGGGCGCGTTCCTGAAATCGAAGAGCCGTCTGTAATAAGTTTTTCTTCTCGCGGAGACTCGCTTGGTGAGCCAGCTGGAGGGACCGGAAGGAATGCTCGTGTTGGCATCGGGCAGTATAGGTCACTGGTAGGACCAGCACGTCAAGCATCCATCTTAGTTGCACGGCAGCACGGATAACTTTGCACTCAGAAGACACTATGTTGATTATGAGAACTCAGCAGAACCAGAAGCTAAACCAAAGCACACCCCCACGAGACCCCCGGCACCGCACGGCCCACCGCGACACCACACCACCGCACCCAGCACCATCACAACAAATCACAGAATCGAAAAACCAAACCATCACGAAACCGCCGCACCACCACCACAGCACACCAAGACTCACGGGCAGTCACTAGAACATCGGTTGAACAAATCTAAGACTTTCATTACATATCGAACACAAACTCCAAACCATCTGCTC